AGACGAAACTTATCCTCGCCGATGGATTGGACGATACGGGCTAATCTCGTGGCCCGCTCGATCGCCAAACCTGAATCCATTCGATTTTTTCTACTGGGGCTGTCTTAAGGACAAAATTTATTCAAAAACAATTCAAAACGAAGAGCATTTGCGGGAACAAATAAATGGAGCTGCTGCTGAGATAGCCCAATTGAGTTTAAGATCTTTAAAAGCGTCTTTTCTTAAAAGATGCCGAGCTTGTATTAGAGTAGAAGGTCGCCAATTTGAGAATATTTTATCAATAAATGAATAAATTTTTCTGCAAACATCTCATGTATGTTTTATTTCACGTGAACCCATCCTTCACAAAAAATATTGATAGATATAGCCCTTGTTATTGACTCTAGCCCGAATCCCGGTAAGTAACATAAAATAATGTCAGGAGCAGGTAATAATGTACCTTTGTATTTTATTTAGCATGTCATTGGTCGGTAACAAGAGCAACTTAAATTTAAATCTATTAAATACATTCTAGCGTGTCTCAGTCCTTTGCCTACAAAAGCGGCTATCTTTATTAAATGAGCAATTTTTTTATGTAATGTAAAGTTATAGCTAAGTAAATTTTTTTTCACCAGAGATAGTCAAAGTTGGGGAAGAAAATATCAAAAAGTTAAAAATCATAAAATAGTCCTAATTTTATAATGGTTCCTTAATATATTTTAACTACATTGCTTCTGAATATGGAGAAGCAACTATCTGGAAGTATTTTGCATAAAAAATTTACTAAGTATAGCCTTGTTTGTAGATGCCGTTAAAGAAAATACATGAAAAGGCACGATTTTTCTTTAATTCAAAAAAACTTAAATATTCCAAAAACGGTGACACTTTTACTTGAAAAATTTTTGTTTATCAGAGAGCTCACCACCCCACCTGCCTTCTCCTCAAGTTTGGCAGCTTACTTCTGGGACACCCTCTATTACAATTAGGAATTTACGATATAAGAAATGCAAATCTGTTGTATTGTACAATAGCAAATAGGTTTAAGATATAAATGAAAAAAATAGAGTAGCGTCATTCCATACGCGCCTTTTAAAACGTAAAGAAGTCTTTTTAGTAAAATCAATTTTTGGGACTCTGGCTACAAGCCATTACCCGAACCGGTGGGCGAGTAACCTTTTTAATAAAGTGCCCGCGTCCGGACACAATAAAAAAACAAGGAATTCCTGCACACAAGGCGGCAGCACTAGGGATCGCTGGGCTCCATGCCATGCAGACGTTGGCCGGCATCAGCGCCGGCGGAGCACCAGGGCTCCGCGTGTAAGCAGAAGGTACGCCTCCCCCGCACAAACGATGTGGGATAGCCAACACCACAATATAACGAATAAACAAAATTTATTTTTATGTGAGAAGAACCGCAGCACCTGCGGCAAAAAAAATTTAAAACATCAACATTAATTTTTTGCTACCTGCAACTTGTTACACTAAAATCGAATTGCGTCACTTCTGAGAAAAAATGATGAATTTTCAGGGCTAAATTCATAGTGCGTAGTTAAGATTTTTCAACTAAAGTACTAGGGATGTCCAACGTTCATCGATATTCGATTTTATCGATGATAAGGCGTAAAATATCGATGTTTTATAATCGATTGCGGACTATGCACACATAATCGACGTGCCGATGATTCCAGATATTCACTGTTCAAACACACATACGTACATATGTAGTTACGACTTTTGCATTTCAGGTGACGATATACCTGAACGTGGTTGTACGTATGTTGAACTAAATTTAATAAAAAAGGCGAAGGTAGTAAAATATTTGATTTGATTTTAAGTTTTTTGATAAAATTTTTTAAACAAATCTGAAACTCTTAAACATAATTTCGAGGTAAAAATGAATAAAAACAAATAATGTTAAAAATTGCGCGAACGCTTCCAATAGAACGGCTTACTTCTGATGTGCACGGGAACATTTCCGTATTTTAGAATGATATCGATATTGTGTAAAATCGATGATTGTCCGTCGATGAAAAGACCCTCCGATGTCATCACCGATGAAAAAATCGATGATTTCTCATCATCGCCCATCCCTATAAAGTACAGTTCATGGGCCAAATTCACAGTGGTTAGTTAACTCAGAATCGGCAGTTAACTACAGATTTTCAGTACAAACATTTTGAATTTGGCCCATGCGTGCAGTGTGCTAAGTGCAAAGAATTTTTTCATTTAGATTGCGCCGGCGTTTCGCCGAATGACTTGGATTTTTCGGACAACAAATACTTTTGTAAAGAGTATACGGACATTCGCCGGAGAAATATTCGCACTCCTCCGCCTCCTGTGAAGCTTATGAACAGTGAAATTGCCGATAATCAGTGTTCGACAAAGTCTGCCGGTGTGCAAACAAGCGAAGTATCTTGTCAATCTTCAAAATTCTGACTCTATACTTGACCAACTATGTGTCAGTGTGCGCAGCCTTCGTGGAATTCTGTTTGTGTGCGCTTCGTACATTCCACCGAACAGCAATGAGGTGATTTATAAATCACACATCGATAATGTTATATTTTTAAGTTCTAAAATAGGAGATAATAATCTCTGCGTTCTGGGTGATTTTAACTTGAGTAACGTATCTTGCCGAATTTTCAATAACTCCTCCGACTTATTACCAGCTAATGTAACTAATGACTGCGAACTCTATGTTACTGACATTATTTTAATTATCGGTTTAGCACAGATAAACTCATTCGTCAATAGTCTGAACCGGATTCTTGATCTAATATTCCTAAGTAATGAAGTGAACTATCAGTTGTCTGAATGCAGCTCTGCGAACTCGAATGCCAATGCCCATCATAACTTTTGCGTACTATGAAAATTGTACTGCTCCACTTGATATCGGGCGTCAAGTTTTCAATACAGTTTATGCAATTTCGACCATTTAAACTCATTGCTAGAAAGTGAAAATTGGACTGGTTTATTTGCTGATTTGGACACTGCAAAGGCTTTCAATGTTTTCAAGATGCGTACTTATAATTTGTGTGTGGATCTTATTCCCACCTTCCCTAAATGGGCTTATAAGTTACCATGGTACACAAAAGGGCTGAAACACCTCAAAAATTTGAAATCTAAGTTTAACAAAAAAACAGAAATTCGGCAAATCCATACTACCACATTCAGTACCATCACTATTTAGCTAAATTAATTAGCTTCGATAAGATAGTTTACAAAAAATATATTACTAAGTATGAGGTTAATATAAAAAGTAATCCGAAAGCGTTCTGGAGCTATATTAAAGCTAAGAAATCTAATTCTGATATCCCTTCTTCGGTTTTTTATATCGACAGGTATGCGAACACTCCTGAAGAGGCTGCTAATATTTTCGCTGAGTTTTTTTGTTCAAACTTCGTTTCAGACTCAGATGTTATGTATGACTGTAGTTATATCCCCGAATCCTCCCTTGCTTTTGGTTCGCTCGTTTTAACTGCGGATGATGTTTTGAGAGGCATTGAGGGTTTAAAGTTTTCTAAACAAACAGACGCGGATGGCCTTGCAGTAATTATCTTCAAGAAATGTTCATCTCTGGTTAAACCTCTGACTCTAATTTTTAATATGTCCTTATCTTCTGGAATGTACATTGATGATTGGAAAATAGCCTCTGTAACCCCAGTTTACAAAAACGGCAACAAGAATGATGTTACAAATTACAGACCGATTTCAAAATTGACTACGGTATCTAAATTATTCGAAATAATCGTTAAAGAAAAATTGCTGTTCTCGGTGAGTAGCTTGATTTGTATCAATCAGCATGGCTTTGTCAAAGGGAGGTCGACAGCATCAAATCTCGCGGTTTTTACCGAAGACTGTTTTACTGCGTTCCAAGATGGGTATCAAGTCGTTGCAATTTATACGGACTTTTCTAAAGACAGAGTTTCTTACAAGGTCTTACTTTCAAAATTTTCTAGCTTTGGTTTTCACTCCACTTTCCTTCAGTGGATAACATCATACCTATCTAATAGACTTTATGCGGTATTGATAACTTCTCGTCCCGACCTTTCGTAGTGACATCAGGCGTTCCTCAAGACAGCATTCTCGGCCCTTTGCTGTTTGTTTTATTCATTAACGATATTAGTTCCTGCTTCAGAACATCTAAGTTTCTTCTATATGCTGATGACCTCAAGATATACTCTGCAATTAAAAATTCGAATGATTCCACTGCGCTTCAAGGGACCTTCACAAGCTACATTCTTGTTCCATCCAAAATCACCTATTTCTTAATGTTAACAAGTAATTTTTAGCAAAAAAAAAACCGACTTCAACTCCCATATAAAAAATATATATATATGTCGCAGGATGTCGTTCCATTGTAGCAAATTCCGGTAGTTTGACGCGCACTCTTTCTTTTCCATTTCCAAATTTTTCAAATTTCATTCATCAAATATTTTTCACCATTTTTATTTCAACACCTATTATTCACCCGTTTGAAAATTCCTAAACAAGTAGAACTTGATACAGTGCGCGCCACTCTACCCAAGCATCTAACTGATGCTCTAAATTTATTACAGGATCCGACACGGCCATTCTGACAAGTCACACGTCCACGTGTGATACCTTTCAATAACTTCCACTCGGCCACTTCTGATTTAAATTTTAACATTAACCAATTTTATTTAAAAGAAGGGGGGAAAAAATAGATTTACAATTTGAATCATAACAAAAACTTATGTTAAGTCAAATGCAATAAAAACTTCATTAATTAACAATCAAAACTAATTCACTTGACCAGTAAAATTAGCAAAGTGTTTCTGCCACTTACATCCAGCAACAGAAACTCTAATTCCATCTAAAACTATATTAACATCTTCCATCACTTCCATCCACTGATCATATTCCAACTTCCACCACTTCCATCCAGTGATTATATTCCAACTTCCACCACTTCCATCCAGTGGTTTTTCTAAATTTTATCTCATACTTCATCACTTCAACTTCATACTTCGTTCCAATTTCGAAGATATTTTCAAACTTATTTACAAATCTGTGATATCTTCCTTATCCCCAAAATCTTCAACATCTACAAAATCAGCACCATTAGGCATTTTCCGCAAACGATCATGAGCATACTTATAAATACGATTAGAGTGCGGAGCAGACAGCATATATCTATCCCCATCTAAATTTTCAATTATTTTAAAAGGTCCTCTATATTTGGGATCCAGTTTCGTCTGATTGCGTTCCTCATTTTGCAGTAAAACAAAATCACCCACAACAAATTTATTTACACTAGCTTTATTTTTGTCAAATCTGTTTTTTTCATAGTTCGCACTCCGATCAATATTTTCCACAGCATTTTGTCTAAATTCATCAATCTCAGTTTCTGATTGTAGTTCTTTTAACCACATAAGATCAAGTGGCCTTTCAACCTTCCCTATCAATAATTCGAGTGGACTATATTTTGTAATTCGATTAATCGTACAATTTAAAGCCAATTGAACCTCACCGAGAGCATTTTGCCACGATCGTTCTTTATTCGTCCTTACAGCAGTAAGCATGTTTTTAAGAGTACTCATTACTCGTTCTACCTGACCATTTGCACGAGAACTACCAGTAGCTACAAGATGCAACTCAATACAATAAGAATCACAAAAGGTACGAAATTCAGAACTAGCAAAACATCTGCCCTGATCAGCAATGATACGTTTGGGTGCACCAAAAAGAGAAACACAAAATTTGAGAGCTTGAATGCTACTGGCTGAATCAATATGCAAAGTGTGGCGTAAAATTACAAATTTTGTGAAGGCATCAACTATAACAAAAACATATTCTTTCTTATCACTTTTACCACTCAGATTGCCTGTTGCATCAATATGCACCGTATGCCAAGGAATAGAAATTTTTGGAATAGGGTATAACTCCATTTGAACTTTACCAGAATGAGATTTAGAAATTTTACATACGATGCAATTTTCAATAAATTTCTTCACATACTTTGCCATATTATCAAACCAATATGTCTCATAAAGCTTTTCAAGAGTTTTTTCCCACCCAAGATGCATTAAAGATTCATGTATACGATTTATTACAGACCACCGTAGAGCTCGGGGAAGAATTGGCAAACACTTTGTTCTACCATTACGTTGTATAGTACGATATAATACACCTGACCGCATCTCATAAGTCTTTGACAAATTATCACACAACTTATTTTCTTTAAAATCAGAAACCACCTTCATCTCCAAATCACGTTGTTGCTCAGCTATCAACCAATTCGCCGTTAAATCTGCAAAATTTACTTCTCTTCGCTCAACTTTGTCAAAACTCTGAGTTTTAGCTATGAGTTGTGGATTTCTCGAAAGAAAATCTACATGGCCCATACGATCACCACTTCTATGAATAATATCAAAATCATAAGCTTGCAAAAACGCCCACCATCTGTATACTCTAGGAGTTAAATCAAGCTTTGTACGGGCTGATTTCAAAGAATTGCAGTCAGTAACAACAAGGAATTTGCGACCATATAGAAAATGCCTAAAATGTTTAACAGCATTAACAACTGCCAGAGTCTCTAATTCATAAGAATGATACTTAGCCTCTGCAGATGTGGTGCATTTACTAAAATACGCAACAACATAAAGGTGCTTATCATTCCGCTGCATTAAAATTGCTCCATATCCTAAAGAACTTGCATCGGTATGCAACTCAGTTGGAAAATTTGGATCAAAAATTGTTAAAACTGGTGAATCAGTCAATACTCCTATGATTTGTTTCCTAATAATCTCGTGTGAGGGCTTCCAAATAATACTACCTTTACCGAAGCTTGTTAACGCATATAATGGTGACATAATTTGAAAAAACTTAGGCACAAATTGTCTAAAATATGATGCCAATCCAATAAATTGACGCAACTGAGTGACAGTTTGCGGTGGAGGCAAAGATACCAAGGCTTCAATTTTTCTAGGATTAGGTTTAATTTTACCTTCACTTACTTCATAGCCAAGATATTCTACTTTTCGCTTCATGAAAGAGCACTTTTTCCAAACTCTTCCTAACGTCTTCTGTACCCAGCACCAGTATATCATCCATGTAAACGACTACATAAGAATGAACTAGTTCTCCTAAAACCTTCATAACAGCACGCTGAAACACAGCTGGAGCATTTCGCAATCCAAATGGCATGGCAAGATACTCGTAATGACCTTCTGGTGTCACAAAAGCTGTCTTTTCAATCGAATCAGAACCAACCGGTATTTGATGATAACCACTAGCCATGTCCAACGTAGTGAAATAACAACTTCCATGTAGTCTGTTGATTTGATCCGATATTAGTGGTAAAGGGAATCGATCAGAAATTGTGTTATCATTCAACTGACGATAATCAACACACATTCTATCGGAACCATCCTTCTTTTTAACAAGTAAAATTGGACTAGCAAAAGGAGAACAGCTAGGTCGTATCACACCCGCGTTCAATAGTTCATTTATCTTTTTGCGAACGATATTACGCTCTTCAAAACTTAACCGATAGGGACGTCTATTAACTGTTTTGTTAGGGTCCTTCAGACGTATTTGCATAGGAGCCACAACAGTAGACCTACAAGGAGTACCTTCAGTAAAACTTGTTTTATAATTATTTAACATACTAATCAACTCTGATCTAAATTCAGAAGGAATATCAGTAGCTAAATCTTCAAAATTCAAGAAATGGTTTTCTACGTGACAAATGTTAACGTTAACATCACTTTTATTAAAAACTAATTCGCTAGACGTCATTTTTACACTCACGCCTTGATTTAGAATTTCACGCCCGATCATGATATCATAACCTAAATAAATATCCGGTAAAATATGAAACAGAATTTCTATTAAAATCGCATCAATTTCCACTGTGGCTAGTATTTGCAAAGTACTAATAACACTTGCATGCCCAATACCTGTCATATTCACAACATTATTAAACCGTTTACCGCAAAATTTGGAACCAACCGACTCTCTAATAAGTGAACACTCCGCCCCCGAATCATAACAAAAATTGTATCGCTCACCTGATTGCCGCAAAATACCTAGTGGTGACTTTATGGTACAAACATCAATCCTATGATTAACAGCATTATTTGATGAATCAACACCCACAGCCTTCTTAATTTCATTCGGACAACGTGAGGCATAATGGCCAACTTTTTGACAACGAAAACAGGTTACCGATGCATTGTTGTTACTGGAAACGTTCTTACTTGCTGAATCCTTCTTGACAGATATTGATTTGTCGTCATTACCAAACCGAAACTTGCACGTAACAGACTTATGGCCAGGTTTTCCACAGATATAACACTTGATAGAAGAAACAACCCCGAACTTTTGACGCTTAACATCAAAACGGTCGCGATCATTTAAACCAGTAGAAAGTTTTCTTTTCAAAAATGACATCGAACTTAACTCTTGCTGCAGTTGCTTCCTTGTCTGTATACTTGTTGTAAACGCCAACCGATGAATACGGAAATAAAACTGCGCCAAATGTGCCAGTACCGTTGACACAATAATTTCCTCTGTAGAAAGAGTTTTCCATTTTGATGACAAAGACGTAACTATAGTCGCAGCATACGAAATTAAACATTCGTCATCCTTTGGCTTGTTGTTAATCAAATTGATCAAGAACGCAGCATTCGTTTCAGAGAAATCGAATCTCGATATAAAAATTTCCTTAAACTCGTTCCAAGTCATATCCGGATAAGAAACTTGCGTTAGCCAAATAGCTCCTTGTCCTTTTAAAGCTCTGCTTAAAGTCAACATCAAAGACGAACCTTTTAAAGGCTTATCTTTCATGCACATGTCCGCTGTAGATATCCAAGCACGTGCATTAACGTTGTGTCCCTCTGGATCAAATTCAGGTAGCTGAACATCATTATTTACAGCCGAGGAAGAATTGACCAATCGTAACAATTTTACGAAATCTTGATTTTGCTGCTCGTACAATTTTTTCCACATATTTTCCTCAGCGTTCGATTCGCCGCTATAAGGACTTTCAGGCTCATTGCCCACTTCTGATGTCGCAGGATGTCGTTCCATTGTAGCAAATTCCGGTAGTTTGACGCGCACTCTTTCTTTTCCATTTCCAAATTTTTCAAATTTCATTCATCAAATATTTTTCACCATTTTTATTTCAACACCTATTATTCACCCGTTTGAAAATTCTTAAACAAGTAGAACTTGATACAGTGCGCGCCACTCTACCCAAGCATCTAACTGATGCTCTAAATTTATTACAGGATCCGACATATATATATATATATATTTCTGCGTGGTTTGTGTTAAAAAAAAACATGTTTTCTTTAAAAAACTTTAAATTAAATATAAATTGCAATAGTCAAATCCTGTCAATATGCGGGTGATTGTGATGAGCTCTTTATAAAATCCATCAAAGTTTACAGAGACTACATTTAGAAGGAAAAGACTTTGTGGCCGAAAACGTACACATATTTTGTTCAAAAAATCATCGACTTAGCAAACTGCACTCGAAACTCCACTTAAAAATCATGTACATACTTTAGTCGACGCTAACTAATTTAGAAATTAAATGAGGTAGCAGGTCTTCAGTGGAGAACTACCGGGGCATAGCTAAGCTCTCTGCAATTCCTAAATTATTTGAAGCAATTATAACCAATCGGTTGACGCATTCTATCACTTCAAGCATTTCATACAGTCAACA